GCAAACTCAGGGAGGCAGTGAAGGACAGGAAAGCCTGGTGCGATATGGTTCATGGGGTCACAACGAGTCGGACATGACTTAATGACTGAACAACAATGACAAAGAATGTTGAAAGATGGTGATGGTATCACTGGAAAAATTTTGACATATGGATATAGGTTGCTTATGGAGAGGTTATGCAACTTATTTAATGTATGTGTGTCATAACTGCATCTGTGCCTGGCCACTGGAAGAATGTCTTTATTCTTTGTGTATACAAAGGGACAAGTAGCAGGAATGAATGCAAAACCTACAGAAGGATTAGTTAAGTGGCCCTGGGAAGGTATTTGACATAATTCCAGTGAAAATGGTAGAAGAGTTGAAATTCATTAAATTATGAGAAATGCACTGTGCTTTTATGCCATGCAGTGGGGTTTGGGGTGAGGGTGCAGACCTGATTTTTTTTTAAAAAAAAATCAGGACATTGCTAGATGTATTAATGTGAGAAAGGTATGTTTGTTAATTGAAAGAAAGTCTAGGGTAAAATGAATAGGCTTGGATTATGGAACAGTGTGTGTAAATATTGAATTGAAAATTGCTGGTGAATATGATCAAAGCAATACATAATGCATGAAAATCAGTGGAATGCTTTGTGAATAGCTCAACATTTAGCAAGGACAAGGAAGTGTGATGTCCCCTCAGTTATTTTATGCAGTTATACAAGTAGTCCTTGAGTTATGACTGCAATTGGGACCAGGATTGCTATCACTAAGCGATGCAGTTGTAAAGTGTAACATCATGTGACCACATTGCTTAGCAACAGGAATCCAGGTAGACCTGATTATTGTAATAAACCAAGAAGCGTGGGTCGTTAAGGGGGAACTGGAGCGAGTCCCAGGCAAAGAGCACAGGGGTGCCACAGGGGGATGGGGGAGGCCCTGGGATGGTCAGCACAGGCCACAAGTGAGTTGGGAGATGGGGTGCTCCATGCAGCATGAGCTCAGAAAGGCTAAGGAATGAGGGCATGGGGTGCATCCAATCACAGGGAGGGCAAGGAAAGAGGGCATGGGATAAGTGTGTGCATGTGTACAATCTCAGGGAGGCTGCGGAAAGAGAGCATGGGGTGCATGAATATGTGTGTGCAAGCACAGGGAGGCTGGGGAAAGAGGGTGCATTGTGTGTGTGAGCAAAGGGGAGAGGGAGGGTGTGGTGTACAGGAGCAAAGAAAGGCCGGGGGGGGGGGGGAGGGGGGGGGTTGGTGGGGGGGGGAAAGGGGGGGGGGGGGGGAACGGGGGAAAAGAAAGGCGGGGGGGGGGGGGGGAACGGGGGAAAAGAAAGGCGGGGGGGGGGGGGGGAACGGGGGAAAAGAAAGGCGGGGGGGGGGGGGGGAACGGGGGAAAAGAAAGGCGGGGGGGGGGGGGGGAACGGGGGAAAAGAAAGGCGGGGGGGGGGGGGAGACTTACCCCAGCAACTTGCAACCTTCCTTAACTGCTTCCCATTAACCTTGCTTGAGCAAGGGGGGGGCATAAATGGTAATCATGAGGCACTGCAATGGCTAGAACTTCAACTACCAGTCATAAATCCCTTCATTCACCACTGTTGTAACTTTGAATGGTTGCTGAATGAATGGTCATAACTGAAGGACTATCTGTAGATAAACGTTTAAGGAATACTTGTGCTGTTAGAAGTGTGTTGGTTGGGGATATGTGTAGGATCAAATGGCAAAGGATCAAATGGCAAAACAAATATAGGAATAGATGACTGGTGTGGGTCTTCCGGGCTGTATGGCCGTGGTCTTGAAGTCTTGTTTCCTAACGTTTCACCAGCACCTGTGACCGGCATCTTCAGAGTACAGACAGGAGCAGTTCTCTCTGTGCCCAGGGTGAA